TTACAGAAGTGCATCTGTCTTTCAAATTTGTTCAGATTTTTGGTTTAAAAACATTTGTAATCCCTTCAAATTATAGCAGCTTTCCCTCTTAACAAAACATGATTGGATGTTTGAAGGTAAATTTTTTATGAGCTTTATACAGAACCTGCAGCATGTTATAATCAACCAACCCATAAAATTTTAATCATTTTAAATGATGAAACAATGTATGAGATGGGTGATAGTAATGTTTTGTGATAATTCTTATGGCTATTTTTTGGAAAATAAAAATAGGATTAGTAATTGTTTTACATGCATTTCCCCAGACTTCTATACAATAAACCAAATGTGGAACAATTATTGAATTATATAGTGTAAATAAAACTAGATAAAATACTTTCAAACACAGAGTACTTGAGAAAATCTAGTATTTTGTCAGTTGAAAGACTTTCTGCAGTTTTGTTCTGATCTTAAGATAAGACTTCTGTAAGCTTGATTCATGCTGGACTTTCCTATTTGACTCATTAGCGCCTCTAGTGTTTGGTCATGGAACTGCATCTGTCATCATTGCTCCCAGGAAAAGGACAGGTGTGTGACAGGACAGGGGCACTTCAGGGGGCCAATCAGATTTCAGCTGGTGCCAATGCCCCTGTGGCCCCGCCCCTGCTTCTGAAAATATTAAGAATTAAAAAAAAAATGCTGCTTTGTAGTTTTTAAGGTTTCTTTGTTTTTCTAATTGAATACCAGCTTTGGGCAGCAACAGTGAGGTCTGCGTTCATCTTGGAGAGCTTTTATATTTAACTTTGAGGCTGAAAAGTTCAAGAACCGGAGTCACTTTTTTGATTTTTTTTATTAAAATAAAACAAAAAATAAAATAGGTACAAACTGGTGGTTTGCAAGAAAGAGAGAGAAATAAATCTACACAAAAAGTACATTTAAGAACAAAAAAATAAGAATAGTGCAACTGGATTAGTGCTCCTTTTCATCTTCATCCCCGTGACTTTTTTAGTACTTTCTGTAAAAACAGAAAAAGATAATTAATTTCATGTAAACATATATTGTAGAAATGCTAATTTGCACATAAATGACTACAATACTTCAATTTCAAACACTTCAGAGACACAGCGGTGTTTAACACTTCTAATGTGCATCTTGTTAAAGGATCTGTCTTTAAACAAACTTTGTTCTTTCTGCAAAAATAATCTGAAAGATTTTCTTTTTTTTTTCTTCAAATTTTAATAACGTTTGATCTGAAATTGATCTTTCCTACAGAATACCTGTTTATGTTTGTGGCTYGTCTTCATCTCTCAAAACTTACCTAAAACCATTTGTTGTTAAATGCAAAACGGATAAAAACAGAACAAAGAAAAACACTGCAGATGTTGCATTTCCTGCTAAAACAGCATGAATGTTGAGTGCTGAAAAACTGCTACATTTTCCCAGCTAAAGAAGTGAAAATTTAATTAGGGTTAAAGGGCTAGCTAAATGTTATATGTAGCATTTATTTAGGAAAAATATTGTTTAAGAAATTGCTGCATTTTGAAAAGTATTAAAAGTTAAGCTAAAAGTCAGAGCTTCTGACTGTAAAATCATCTGGACAATATGAAAACTTGTTAAAAATCCAGTGTTTTCTCTTTATATTTACATAAAACAGAACAATGTGTGTTTTTATGGCTTGGTGRGTTGTACATTTTACACAGGGACACAGACATGAGGAGACTAGTTATGTATCCATTTTTATGATTTTTTTTAAAATCAAGACACATGAATGAAACATTTCAAAGAACATTTTACATTAAATTGCAGGATTCATTTTAATTGACAACATGATTCACTAACAATCAGTATGGCCCCTTTAGTCAATAAAAATACCATCAAGTGATGGAAAATTTGAAAGTAATATCTCAGTACTAAAAATGCTTCTTATTGTGGCACATTTTGCCAGCATGGGTCACATATTTGCTCCATTTTTTTTAAATTACTTTGGGCTCCTTTTAGCTGACTGAAGGACAGCGACACCCCCTCCTCTTTCTCTCCACCCCCACAAACACTGATCCATTTCACCATTGACCTTTTTACAGTTTACGTGCACATGTAAAATCGGGCCCTTTCATAGCTTCAGCACACTTCAGGTATTTAAGGATGGCATTCTATATTACTCTTTTGTTTGCACCTGCTTTTCCTGTCAACTTTTATATACAAATATATTTACAAATTAGTTTTATTGGTATTTTAAGTTAGAAAAACCCCCAACATGCAACACTGTTGGAATAACTGCAGAGCTGAAACATAAATAGATATGAACACTGTTTAGACTAAATGTATTTCAATAAACCTGAAGTAGGAGTGAATATATTTGGACCACAATACATCACAAAACACTGACACAGGGCATGCATATTAACTGTAAAAAGGTCTAATAAAGTGATTCCACACCTACAGCCCCCCAGCACCGATCGCTGTATGCTAACACAAGATCCTTTGGACAATACATGGACTTCCAGATCCAGACAGACAAGATGGTAATGGCGAACCAACCGGACATTGTGGTGGTGGATAAAGAACAGAGGAAAGC